CCTGCCTAGGTACCGCATCGCTAGCAACCAAAAATCACAGGCTGCTTCCACGTAATCAGTGTTCATGCTAACCCAACTCATTGTGGTGGAATCGCTTTTCTTTTTCTGTAGGAGAAGCTTTCCGATACTCGCAAAACCGGACATTATCTTAACATACGGCGTAAAGAACAATTCAAAAATGATATTACAGCCGAACAATTTATCGCGGTTGGGGTTGTGATGAAAGTGCTTACAATAAATGTAAGCGTCTTGGGAGTTGGGATTGTAAAATTTTTACAATCCCAAGTTCCCAACTCCCAAGGCACACCCCGCAAGTTGACGACAAGTTGCCTGTCTGCAGGAACATTAATATACAGTAATTCAAATGCAGCCCCTAGCGCACTAAGGAGATTGGCTTTCGAGCGTGTATTGTAAATGGTTATGTTAGAAATTTAGCTACCAATATTTTGCAGTATACTCGTACCGTATTTTACGGTACTTAACAGTCCATCCTCTGGGTGACCACGTGTTTATGAATAGTATAAGTCAGTGACCAATTGTCAAGAAAAAGCGCTAAATCGTAATCCATTATTAGTGGATTACGATCAGGCTTCCCATTAGTCGACTTCAGCGGCATTAATTCTCTTTTTCCCAGCTGTGTTCGGCTGCCTTGAAAAACAGGTCGGGAGGTTTAGGAGTATTTGCGAAATCAAGCCGATGCAAACGTGGTCTCGTCGGTAGGGGTTCTCGATATCCCCAGCTCAGTTCCGCTTCCCAAGCAAGAGATGTGGAGAAGCCAAAAGGGTGTCACGGTTAGCAAAGCGGGGCTACAGACAGTCTGTAGATGTTAACAAAGTGGAGCAGTTTTGAGCGGTGTCCAGCGGCACAGAAGGAAGGGAAGCAAACGCGTCACGCTAAAGGCCATTCATCTTGATCACCATTCATTTTCATGGTCTTTCAGTCAGTCCCTATCGCGAACTGCATCTTATTTTTGAACAGTTCTACAGTAAATTTGGTTTCTTATATTAAGCCAAGTGTGTTCAAAATGGCACCCAAGAACAATGAGTTTATACGTTATAGAAACTTGTGGCTGCTCTTTAGTTTAACAAAAAAGCGTATATGATGTACCTTTTTACAGTAAAAAAGGACGCAACAGTATAATATGTAATTGTAAAAATAGAGCACCTAATGTAGAGTTGTAGACCCTTACGTCCTTCTACCGGTACAACGATTTAACCTCAAATTTTATTCCGTCGACTACGGTATCTGCCCGATCACAAGAGCAGGCGCGTGAACGTGAATATAATTATTATGGTGTGGGGTGTGGGGGAAGGCTCACAATAAAAATAAACTAGTTGAGTGAATGTGAATTAGAAATTGATTACGTCGTTGCGAGTGAAGTAGATCGCTGATTTCAGGACGAGTAAATGCGCCACTAGTCTGTGATATTCATCCATAAACTTGAATTTATCAGACGATGACATTCGCATTTTTCTTTGCCATTGTCCCATATCAGCAGTGTATACGTGATAAATACTCCGAGTAGCTGAAAAAAACAAAAAAGATTATTTGTACGAGTACCATACAAACACCTCGTGAGCTCTTGATGAAAAAAATTTGACGTACACCGATGGCAAACTCGCGGTTGACGTTCACCAGACCACCTAGGCTGAATCCAAGGTGCTCTCTGTCTAACAGCTGCATAAGAACCAAGGCTTTCTTCTGGTACGGATAGTTTTCGAACGGCGAATCAGAAATCCGTGAGGAGATTGCTGCAGACATTGCTGTTGCCTAGACAGTGGAATGTTCTATTCTAATATGTACGGACTGTGGATTAATCGCCCTGCCAAAAATATTTTAAAACTAAGAAAACTAACAAAAATTGAATACAGATGGACTTTTAAGCGCTCCCTAATCGAGCACTCATTCAGTACATCTAGATTCTAGATCTGCCATATCCGCTAGATTGGAAGTACTATTCATTACGTACACGCTTACTTTCTGTACTGTATATGAACCTCGAATTTGGAAAACTGAGAGTTAAATTTTGTAAAAATGAAATTTGTTCACCGGAGCATTCAACAAAAGGAATGCTGCGGTGCGCAGTGTCATCAGCGCGAACTGATACAAAGTATACGTCATGTTGCTAGATGTGTCACTTCCGTTTGTGTTGCCTTGCACAACTTCTTTAAACAGGGCCACTTTGTACATTGCCCACGTAATATCTGTCAGATAGAGAATGAGAAGATAACAGTTGAACCTCTTGCGTAAATATTGCAGATGATTGCAAAGAATGTAATACGTCTTTAGGATTTTGTCAGCATCAGCTAGAACAGCATTCCTGTACGCTCTCGCCATACTGGCATAGGTTAGGCCAAGTATTGCGGAGAGCAGGATCAAAAAGCATTGCGCCATGGGCGTTAGACCGCCAAACATCCACGAAACCGATTTTATTATTAGGAGAATGGCATCTTTATTGAAGCCGCCCTTGTTATAACTAAACGCAAACACTTGTCGGCATTCAGAAATAATATAGTCAATGATGGGATACCAAATATAGCACGAAATCAGTCCTAGGAACGCTGCAAAAGCCATAATAACTTTTCTGTTCGAACTGGTAAGAAAGGGTTTGCATACCACCATGCAGCCTTCCAACCACTGTTCGAGATTCCAAAATCCGATGACCAGGCCGATATAGGACAATGGGTAGCAAATTTTGGTAAGCACACTGGCAAAGTGTTGGACCAAATTCGATGCAGACTCCAGTTTTGCATTGCTGTCTAGCGACAGTGAGGTAAAGGTGCTGACAAACGTTCCAAAAAATATGACAGTTGACCACCCCAGTAAAACGCATTCTACGATCCGCTCCCCTTTGGATCGCACATTTTTCTTCTCGTTTGGCTTGCGCGCGAACCTGCCCAGGTAGCGCATTGCTGACAACCAATAATAGCAGATTGTTTTGACGTAATCGGTATTTGCGCTTATCCAACTCATTCTGATGACCCTCTCCTTAAAACTTATTCTGTAAGATACACTATCTGTAGGACTGTAGTAGTACCTACCGCAGGGTACTAGCTGTACAGTGTACAATCGAGGAACGCATGCATTATCGTAATATCAAGCAACACAGAAAGTGATAAAGGTACACTGCCAAATTCTCTCGTGGTTGCGATTAGTCAACGTAGCAAGCACATTTGAATACCCCAAGAGACACCCGCTGAGCTGACGAGCGCAGTGGACTGGTGGAGGCAGCAATAGCGAGAGTGCACTAACTGTAAAGTAGTAACCCTCGAAAACAATGGAGAAGGGTCTACTGGTAGAGGTTGACAACCGGCACATGGCTAATGAGGTGTGATTTGGTCTGGACTGAGATTTGCACATTTGGTGGATTTTGGCCACGACGCACAGCGTAGCAGTCTACGAGAAATACCTTACATACGTCGGGTTTTATAACTTTCTTCAGCGAATGGTTGACTTTTCGGTTTTGATTCAGAGAAAAGATCTAACCAACGCAAAATTTTCTACAAACTGATACGTTAATCATAATTTACGTACCTACCCCCGAATTTTGGCAATTTAAACTTTGTGCACGAATGCCGTACCACAATGTCCCAACTTTAGTGTCCTGCCTATATGCGACATACTCACACTACGCATTACTTGAAGGTGTCTGTATGACACGTGCCGTTTGCTCCGGCAGATTACTGATATTTTCACATAGCAGCGTTTATTAACCATTGCATCAGAGGTACGATAGTGCAATATAAGCCGAATATTTACAGCACAGAAAAATGTAGAATCACGTTAGTTTTTCCTCATACCCGGAGAATCGATTGTTTTGTTTATTCCGTTTGCGATTGTTTACTGTCATCAATACCATAACAGTATGTGTCTTTTGTAAAAATTAATGTACTACAATGTTCAGCTGCTGCTACATACAATACTTATCGGCGTAACTACATAAAATTACATACTTACTATATAGTAGGCTGCAATATTATAACCATTCTGTTAAAGCCTGGGATATATTCAGGATATTTTCCGTAGTGTCAGCCGTAAGCTTTAAAAATAAGCACTAATTTATTTCGCGTTCGTAAAAAATGTTTAACGTACCTTTAAATTTAGAAAGTTGTTTAAAAGTACGGTTGAATAATTATAACTTGTTGACACTGATCAAAGTTATAATAGTCTACTTAAGTAGTAATAAGACTGCTGGATGAGGCATAAAAAAATAATGACGAGCATTGTGCCAGTTTTGTACTTCAGCGGCACTTTGCACGTAGCGTGCCGTAATGTACAGTTTTATATCCTGTACATGTACCAGCGTGACAATAGCCTTTTTTGTTGATGTCCTGTTTGTTGTTTTTGCCCATAATGCAAGGTCCGAGCGTAAACGGTTCCATAAATTAGGAATTAGGCAGACAATTCAAGTATCGCGCAGTTTGCCCGCAGATGTGACCCAAGGTGAAATAAATCTGTACACTTGCCATTTTCTGACTGTCTTACTTTCTCTCGACGATTACTTAACGATATTGAATTCATGATTGTGCTTTTTGTATCAGTAGTTGATTTAAAAAACTGGAGAAATCCAGAAACAAACTTGTCCCATGGAGTATACTCACTATACTGCATGGTTAACGAATATGGCAATACATGGAGCGCGTGAACAATACACCAACGGAACATGGGCGTGGTAACCGTTAAACCCGCCCCCGCAGCTAATGACCATGTGCTGGTTGTCAATTAAAGATTCACCAAGGCGCATAGCCGTAATACTAATAGTCGGAAGCTCTGCAGGTCGAATTAATCGCTGTGGTAGCATCGCTTTTACTAATCGGGTTCCTTTCAGTCATCGCGAATGACAGCTGGAAGGCATCAAGGCACATGCAGTCTGATACAGATAAGGAAAAGTGTGCTATAGGACCTTTTACTGTACGGCTTTGTAGTTTGTAATTGCATGTTTTTTTTAAAAAAAGAACTACCATCACAAACGTTTTGATCACGAATCGTAACCTTTTTGCTGAAAGTGGAGACGATACATTACGCTTTATGAAAATAACTAAACCGATCCGCCGCAACGTAATGGTCCAGTTTGAGCCAAAACGTTCGAATGCTCCCTTTCCCTTTTACATCCATAAATCCTCTCTCCTTGAGGACAAATTCTGCGACGTCAGCTACGAGGTCAGCGGTGGCACAGCTCATATGAATGTGCGAACTTTCACTGTACATTAACATCCGTGATGCTGTGTTTATAGTGTCGCCAAACCTAAATCATAATCTTCGAAGTTACACTTATTATACAATTTCTTTATGTTTCATGCAAATCATAATTTTCGAAGTTACTCTTATTATACATTGTCTTTATGTTTCATGCAATGCTGTTGTTTTACTGTCTTGACATACGAAAACGTACAAGCAATATCGCGGGACTTTATTTCCAACCACCCCAGCAGCACATGAACCACTATGCATGCCAACACGGAGCGAAGTTTCGGTAGCACTGCCGAACTGGGAATAGGAACGAATTAAAGCCTGGGCAAGCAAGCATAATTCCTTTGCATGATGGATGCCATTACGTTTTGGAAGACCACTTACAACCTGCAAAGTTGTGATAGTAATAACATCTTTCATTGCTTACTACAGTATTAGCAGTTATAACAGTGCAAAAGGAACGTTTCTTCTGCAAATGTGGCTAATGTACAAAGTATGTAATCAGTGTTTTACCATGTAGGAGTCTTTTATTGTTTCCACTTTGTAAGCATCGAAACGCGGAACTATGAGGTCGAAAACCGAATAAGCCTATGAAAAAGCGTAAATAATTAATATATATTACACATAGCACGGGTGCCTAACAGCGGTTTTAAACCAACTTGGTTTAGAAAGGTCATAACTTCAGAGGGGCCGTGTTCTTGAACATAGTGTCCGAATCCTGCAATATCGCTGTAAAAAAACCGAGTCCGGTTTGTACAATACAATGAACGCGTAATTAAATATGCTTTCAAACCTGAACATAACCGTGACCGACTCGAAAGTTTCAGGATTAATTACACAGCCTTTTCGCAAGTCTGGAATGATTTCTTTTGGAAACATTTCCATCAGCAAAGATTCGCATTGGGCTTTTTCCGCAGATAATTCTGCAGTTCGTTCGGCAACCAGCGTATCCAGTTGTGCTGTATAGCGTTCCAAACGTTTAGCTATACGTTCCATCATGTTCTCGTTATGCTTCCGGCCGGTTGCTTTTTTAAACGTCTTGATAACACTTTCAGCAGCCGATTTGTCATTTGGATTGGTGCAAGTCAGACACTCTTTAATGACCGGAATGATAATTTTCAAAAGCGGAATCTTGGCTTCAGAAATGCTTGATGAATTCGAACAAATCTGTAACAATGCTTCCGGTGGGATTTCATTTTGCAGAACAATGTGTCCCACGATTAATCCAGCAGCTGGCAAATCAGGCGCAAAATCTCTTATCTTTGCAGTCGTGTTAACGCTCGAATGGTTGTTCGAATTAACAAATGATGAACGCAACCTCAAAAACGCTAAACTTCCCAGTTTAAGCGTAAAACGGTTATCGACAAGGCACTTGTGGATTTTCAGTGAGCCGTGGGATTTAAACGATGATCGGCTCACCGCAAGAACTCCCTAGCATAACAAAAAAGGCCCTTTTTTGTTACATAGGTAATATAGGAAAAACTCCTTAATCATAACAAGATATAAAGGAAATACAGATAAGTACTGTAATACAGATTTGTAACAAAATTTAAAAACGTCGCAATAATGCCGGTATTGATTTTACCGTGATTGAAAAATTATAAATATGTGCAAAGCACGATAACATACTTGTAGCAAATCGTATATAAATGATAGCCGGAGATCGTTATCGATGCGCCGGCTTTTCATGAGGTCTTCCAGGGATCCACGCTCACAGTGCGCGCTAACGAAGAACACCTTCTGTTCAAAGGTGCAGCAAATTCCCAGAAAACGATTGACGTTTGACGAATCCATACTTTTCAGCTGTTAAAGGATCAGAACACAGCATAACGTACGTGACCGTACAGAACTAACTGTACTACTACGCAAAATAAACGCTTCTTTGTCCACCTCGTGCAAGGTTTTCAGCAACGTTCTGTGCCTTGAGGTTTGCTCCAGAGGGATTTCGAGATGCTCGTCGCCAGCAGATACTGGAGTAAGCCACACAGATTCATCACCAAAAGATGCCTCTTCTCCGGAGACACTATTCTGTAGCAGTTAAGTCAAACTTCCCGAATAGTAACACCTAAAATCTTTGAAAATATGTGGCAGAACAGTACGATACCTTGTCGGTAGAGTCCCGTATTTTACGATGCAAATGCTGTGGATTTAAAAGCCACCACTTTGAATTGCTATCTTTATTCTGTAGCTTCCTGTTCAAATTCATCAATTGTTGTAAAATTCCCACCACCGTACTGCTGGCTTTGGTATCAGCTGCAGTATGATAACAAACAAGGCGTGAATCGTTTTTTACCTGCACCTGTACAATGTCAAGAGCACGACAAAGCAAACCAGCGAAACCGCAGCGACCACACTTCCAATAACAACCGGTCCTGAGCTGTCTGAAATACAACAAATGGAGCAACCAATAATTACAACAAATGGAGCACACCGTGTGGAAACTGCCACCTAGGAGAGTTATTTGTAAGACAAACACACATGTACCTGTCAGACAGGCGCTTCGATCTCTACGGAATCCACATTCTGGTTCATCGGGCGGAGGCCACGTTGTTGGCCACTGAAAGGGGGAAATCTCGGTCCCATTATCGCCATTTGGCTCAAATTTAATGGCATCCTGGAGACCAGAAAGTCAGGACACGCGACCTACGCGTATACGAATACGTACGAGGTAGGCAATCAAGCGGATTATTACCCGCAGTATGCCGCTGCTCCAATCGAACTGTTTAAGAAGCATAGGAAACAGCCGTTGTCCAAACCCATCAAAGGTCACATTCGTATAGGTTGTCTCGAAAGTGCGACTGAGGAAGTGCTTAGCCAATGATCGGCCCGAACCGTTTATGGGCGACGCTGAACTCAAAAATATTTCGTTCATCACCTGAACGAAGCAATCATCGTTTGAAATCATTGGCATTTTTTCATCGAGTAAATTCTAGAAACTTCGACTTAAATCGCATGTACTCTGTACAGGCGTAAAACATAGTAACTATTCGTACCTGTGCGAAAATTATGACAGAGTCGTAGGTTGCCATCACGTAGGGCGAAACCTGCAGTGAGCCACAATCACGTTCATTCGAATTACCCGGGCAACCTTTTTAGAAAATGATATCATTCGACACTATCGTTATCTTATTGAGGCATTCTTACACGTTCGCCTGGCAGGTAGGTGTAATTGTACAAGGTTTTGGAAGACCTTATCATGAGATTGGCGAATTCATGTTGAGCGGCTACATTGCGTTCTCCATATGCCGACTCATCGGGTTCCATGACGAGTACCGAACGAAATGCTGACCGTGCTGCCTAGACAAATCGTGGTTACCGAATGTGTAATGAAAGCGGATAGCAAAACCCTACACGCACATCATCAACAGTATCGTTGAACTTCCAGTGAATGTCAAATCCCGACATTCCATTGCGAAATGGAATAACCGTTATGAAGACCTTACAGAAAATAATATTAAAGCCGGAGCACATGGTGTCATGCCAATAATAGTTTCTTTCACTCACGTGCTCGCCGTTCGTCATGTTTAACTTAGAAGCAGCCAGCTGTTTGAGTAAATGGGAGCGTGTTGTAACACCGATTGCGGGATTCATAACGGGAACAGCTTACCATGAACTTCCGAAATCCGGTTAATCCCAAGCCAAAAATAAAATAGACTGCAACGAAGTCAGTAAAAACTTACTTGACATTTTCTTAGGTTCGTTAGTGTGTTCTTGCCTCGACTGTGGCGATTGAGTTCCTGGAGTACATTTTCATAATAACCTGGTGATTCATAATAATTATCATCCACTTTGATCAGATGCAGCTGCGTTCCAGGATGACCTTCTATAGCAGTTTTGAAAAGATTTGCTAAGGTGGCATAGACAGAATTGGCTGCTGTATTATGCACTATGCTAAATGTTTCCCACTGGAACTGTCTCATGAGAACGAGACATGTCTCACGATATATTATCAGGGAACTAATAGCGGCAGTTATCCATGTTGGATATGCGACCTTATCCCAGATCTGCGGCGTGATTCCAACGCTAAAGCGAATTATAGAAACAGCGCTCTGTTATTTGCCGATCTGCCGTGCAAACCCAAATAAAGAGACCATCACAACGTTTAACTATACCTGGTTATCATGAACAGATCCCATTCCGTAATTACAGGTACCACTGGAAAAACATCCATTGAACATCCTACAAAAAACCTTATTCAGCCGTTTTAAGTTTGCCGTTTTGTTTGTATTTTATTTTTTACATTCCTGGTCCAGTACTATTAGTTTGCATTTCCTGTATTACTATGATTTTGCATTACCTGACTTTAGTAATTGTGAAGGTGTCAAAGTGCGCAGTTACCTGGTAAAACGAATGCGGTGATGTCAGATACCGGCCTCCGTTTATCCAGTACGTATGCAGCCATAACATTGACATTTTCTGTCGACCAGTCGAGACAAGTTTGGTATCGATAGTCATACAGTAATTTCTGGGAAATATTCAAACACGGATACGTCCGTGCAACTTCATCCAGAGCATACTGGAATGCCGGTCCGGTGTAGGGCCAGCCGCCCAGTTGTGTCGTGTACATGACGGCCATTGTGATAATTTCAATTTGCAGCGGAGTTCGCGAACAATTTAATCTCATGTTATGTGGCATCACAACAGAATTAAACCGCTCTTACAACAGAATTAAACCGCTCTTAAAAACAACGTGATCAACAAGTTAAAATTTTTTCGAAACTCTGTTGAGGGTAAGATGTATTACACAATACGTCCACAGCACTGGCTGCCGTTGGGAAAGTCAAAGTCGTGATCACACTTTTAAAGGGAACCGCTGAGCTGGCGCAGACGAATGTTCGCTGACTCCAGGCAGCAAAAACGCTGAGATGTTTGAATAAGTGTATCGTGCTACAAAGAAAACTCCCGTGGGAAAGTACCGCGCTGCAGTAGGCAAAAGTAGAATCTACAGAATTTAAAACGGAGGCGTTGCGGTCACGACTCCCTAAACTAGCATTAAACAACAAACCTTCGACAGCGCCTCTCTGGAGACCTAAACTTAATCAAGCGGATGGATACATGTAACGCGTTCACTATCTTCATGGATAACGAGGTAGCGCCATTGGCATAGCCTTAATCAGAGTGCTTTTAGAAATAGATTTTTACGGAGACATCTACAGAGTACCGTAGCTGTCATCGGGCATGTTGCTCATTTCGAAGACTTCCGAATTATACAGGAACCGTCCAAAACATCTTCCGGCGGGATGACTAACGTCCGTGGCATTTAAACACGAGAAATACAGGAATCGGGGATACCATCATATGGGCACAAGGGTCCCGCCTACATTGAAAGACATCACAGGAGACGGGCACAGCGGTGAGCGTGGCGGAAAGAAGAAACGAAAAACATGCTTACCTGAGGGACGTCGACGACTTTGTCCGCTTTCCCATGGCGTCTGAAATTATCGCTGCATGTGGCAAAGAGAAGAAGCGCATAAAGGCCACGATGAAATGCTACTCCAAACATTGCACTAGAAATGGTCTATCCTGTTTATGAAAACAACAAGTTGAAGCCTCTGTTACATGGCAGTGCAGTGCAGTCTAGTGTTGGGTCGGCCCGGCCCGTCCTTTAAACAACCCGCCTCGGCCCGGGCCGTCTTGCAGCACAATAATATTCCCGGATGTCATTATGCAAGCGGCTACAGAGGGCATGTGAACCGAAAAGCAAACGGATATTCGCCTAGAAACCGTTTAATGCTGCAAAAATTAAGAAAAACTTTTCGAAAATACTGAATTTCAGTAAATCCCAATGAAAGTTTTCGTTTTTCTACGTGATTTTCTATATTTTATGTCCACAGCGGGCCACGGCCCGGGCCGAGGGCCGCGGCCCGGGGCCGGGTCAACACTAATGCAGTCTGTAGACGTACATAAGATCATTGGTAGACGAGCGGAAGATATTACTGTATTTGTGCAGATGTCAAGCTGCGTTCCAATTTTATGACATGCGATCCGGTGTGGTGCAAAACAGCCGTACGGTAGTTATTCATATTTGAAGTGTACCGGCATTGCCGGAACTGCACAGCTGCAGCGGGGAATCATACTTCACGGTAAAATTTGCTGATTGCCGTCATCTTCTTTCTGAGAGGTTTAAGTGTGCCGGCGAAAGTGCACAATTACAGCTGATAATCCTCACCTTACGGTATAGATTTCTTACAGCCGGCACTCTCCGCCTGTTCCCGGTCCCTTCGTTCCCACTTAATGTCACAGTAGCGCAAGCGATATGCAGAAACATGAGGCATCTCAGAATAAAAAACAATCAGACCCAGTAGGGCTAGTGAGTGGCAAATAGGAAGACGCAACAACGTCTCGTTCGCATGTACCCCGTAATAAGAAGAACAGCGCAACTGCTACGTGATGCGCACGGGATGAACAGGGAGGTAATGCGACAGGGGTATGGAACAATTTAACATCAGTTAGATGAACTTAACTGACATTTAAGTGTCGAGATAGCGTGGCAAACAAAGGCCGTGTAACATGCAGGAGGATTGCTCGTTCAGTAAGTACATTTGAACCAATTTTTTAATCTTATCGGAAAGACGTTCGTTAGATGTCGCTGGCGGAACTTCGGTCAGCGGCATCTAACGAACGCAGCTTTCGCGGCCCGCCGCGAAAGCCGGTCAATCTGTTCAGTTTCGAAGTTTAAGCAATATCATTATACAGTATGTAATACTTACAAAATTGAAAATACAATATAGAGTTGTGAGTATGGTTTGGGATACTTCTTTATTTATCGGATCTCGTTGTGTTTCTGCAAGTTGAGTAAATTTGATAGATAGTTTCCAACCATACCGCGAAACTTTATGCTGTTATAGAAAAAAAAATGTTTTCTTCTATTTTTCCAGCCCGCGCCATAATGGGGAGGTAAACGAGTATCAGAACTGTTCTGTGACTTCCGGCAAAAAAAAAACAATTAGCAATTTAACTGAGACTCCAGGCCGAATTTGGGGTCGTATTGCAGCCAGAATGTTCGAACATTTCCCTTCCCTTTCACATCGACAAAGCCGCGTTCAACTAGAACGAATTCCGCAGCGCTTGTCAGCAGATCAACGGTGGCACAGCTCAGATGGATATGGTCATCCTGGCTGTATAACAGCATGCGGGAAGCCGTGTTGACTGTGTCTCCAAACCTGCAACATTCGCGATAGGTGACCTGACTGCATCTAATTGGCGTTAACTGCACAGCATACAGGCAATAGCGCGGTGTCTTGTTTCCGACAATCCCCGCCACACAGGAGCCACTATGTAGACCGACACGCAGCGCGGTCTCGGAAGTCTTTGTGAATTTCGAATAGGAATGGATTAACGTCTGGGCAAGCAAACCCAGTTCCTGGGCATGTGCGCTTCCATTGCGTTTAGGAAGACCACTAACAACCTAAAGCGTCATTTGCTAAAAGCAGGAATAGAACGTAAGCGGTGAAGAATAACTTTACAAACCATGTACGAATCTTTTATCGTCTCCACTTTGTATGCATCGAAACGCGGAAGCACCAAATCGAAAACGGAATATACCTGTACAACCTCTGTGACATCAGTATACATATGCCTGGTAAAAACAAGTTTTTGATTTTTGGCATACTTCGTTGAGAAAGGTCATTATATCCGAAGGTGAATGGACTAACACAAATTCAGAAAATCTGCCAATATCGCTGTAAAAAAGAAACATAAATTAATTTTGTGTTGGTGATTTTAGACAACATCACTTACCTAAACATGACCGTCACGGAGTCGAAGGTTTCCGGGTTTACCGACGACCCTTTCCTTAGCTCGGCGACAATATCCTTTGGAAGCATTTGCAGTAACAACGCATCGCATTTCTTCTTTTCCTCAATCAATGCTAAATTACGAACGGTGACTAGCGCATCCAGTTCGGTTGTGTAGCGTTCTAATCGCCGCGCAATACGCTCCATCAGATTCTCATTTCCGTAGTAACCCGTGGCTCGGCGAAACATCTTCGCTACGGCGTGAATATCCGGCGGTTCTGCTGCGCTCGTTCTTAAGCACTCTCCAATAATCGGCATCATAATATCAACGGGATCGACTCGCTCAAACGGGTTCTCTAAAACTTCAAGAAGGCTGGCATAGGTTACCTCCTTTTGCAGGATTATGTGGGCCATAATCAGGCCGACTGCATGAATGTCCGAGCGAGGATCGCCTAACGGTTCTGCTTGGTGGAATCCAACAGGCATTTCGGTGGACCTGGTTAGTACACAGTCCAGATTGATTAGTGCTGAGCGTAGCCGTGGATATGCTAGACTGCCCAGATTTAGGGTGAACCGGTTGTCAATGAGGCAATTATGGCTGGATAAGGAACCGTGGGCTCGTAGTGGAGATTGATGAACAGCAGTCAGGCCCTAACAGACAGCAGAAAACAAAATACTTTTAACTGCAGTAACTGGCTTAATACATTTTCAATCACCATCCCGCATCATACCTGAAGTAGATCTTGGATTAGGGAAAACTGAAAGTCCTTGTCGAGACGCAAGCGTTGCACCAGGTCACAAAGAGATCCCCGTGAACAGTATGCACTAACGAATACCATTTCTTTCTCGTTCGTATAGCACACGCCAAAGAAGCGATTGATGTTTGGTATGCTGAGATGTCGCAACTGCAGAAACAACATGGAGTACTAAATGGGGCTGCATGTAAACGTAGTGGATCTTCGTGCGCCTAACATCATGTAAAAGCCGGTGTAACTTTTTGTTCCCTTCGGCTTTAACCAGAGGATCAGTCAAATACCGCACCCTTGCGGAGACTGGTGTTATCCAGACCATGTATTCTCCGTATGTTCCTGATTTTCCCGGGTGATTCACCTATGGGAAATGCTCATAGTGACGTTTACGTACAACACAATGTCATATTCTCGAAGGCAACCGCAGCCGCTGTCACAGATACGGGTTTCGGTTGCCTTATTGTTAGTCGCCGATACGACACCTGGCCACTGACATATATCCCGTCCCAGTTTAAATGACGACAATCCAAAATCCACCATTTGGATTTTCGCTGATTCGTCCTCATTCTCCTGTAACGAAGAGAAATTCTTTTAATCGTTTTTGTACCTTTGCGGTGAAAATTGAATGCGAACATAATGCAGTTTTTATTATTCCGTTATAACACACCGTAAAATTCGAACAATATTATTGTCATACCTCCAGATACACAAAGAAACTGCGACCGCTACGCAGATTATTAATATGGCGGCGGCGTTGGCTACTGCGGTGAGAGCTGGGCTTCCTGCAACAGAATCGAATTGTATGCCCACCCTTTCCTGTCTTTTAATGTTTGCGTTTTTAGCGGAATGGTATATATATAATCTAAGTCGTTTATACCGATCGACACGCAATGCGACCGATCTCCCCGGAATCCGCAGTCTGGCTCGTCATCAGGTGGCCATTCTCTTGGCCATTGAATGGGCGTAACCATGGTGGTGTTTGGATTGTCCGGATCAAACTGCATCACCGTCTGCGAAAGCGTTGTGCGAAATTCAGTTGGTCACCTTGATTTAACTTGACAATATACAGGAAAGCCTGTCGTATTACCCGCAATTCTCCGGTATTTGTATCGAACTGATTAACCACCCAGATCGGCATTCGTTCACCAAACTCATTGATGGTCGCATTTGTGATGGATGTTTGAAAGGTTCGATTCAAAAAGTGCTTGACTAGTGATCGGCCCGATCCACTGACCGCTATTGCCGGGTTTGAATAGATTTCATTCATGACCTTTACGGAAACATATTGTGTCTTAAATTTTAAAATAAGACTGACTATGCACAACGTAAGTAATAGGCACACCTGAGCAAAAATCACTACGGACGCGTATGTGGAGATTACATGCGGCGATACCTGCATCACAACTAATGGTAAGTAGCAGGTACGTTAAAATGTACTTAATGGCACAGCATACACGTGCTAAAGTCTAAAATGAACCGATTATTCTACTACAAACTGTAATTCTAGTCTTCTACCAGTTTTTACCGATTTACTCAATTAAACAGAGATAGCGGGATGCATTTCGTCATTGTTGTTAATGCTTTGATGTACTCACGTATTCACCGGGTTGGTACGTATAGTTATAAACGCGCCGGGATAAGTCAATCATTAAATCGGCGAATCCAAGTGCGTACGTTCCATTAGCCTCTCCGTACACGGACACATCGGGCTCAATAATGAGCACAGAACGGAAAGCCGATCGTGCTGCCTAAACATCCGCTAACCGGATATGGGAAAACGTTCCAAAAGAAATAGATAGCTGCGGCGGTTGCGTACCTCATCGTCGGTGTTATTGCATTTCCAGTTGATATCATACAGGCCATTGCGAAATGGAATAATTGCCACATACACCTTTTAATCAGTGCAAACACACCTTCAAAGTATCAAAAAAGCAGGCAGTATTCAGCGTTACCGTACTTTGTAGTCTGCACTTACATGTTCGCCGTTGGTCATATTAAGCAAGGAAGCCGTAAGCTGAAACCGGAAAGGTCTAGGTTAAATAATTATTATGTCGACACTCGTAAGCAGTTTAAGAAAACTGAACAATCGTTTCACCAAAAGCTTTCGAAAATCAGTTGATCCCAGTCCAAACATCAAGTAAACTGCAAAAAAGGTGCCATTATAAAACATGCGGAATTTGTATAGACGGACGTGTAATCTAAAAAATATAAAAGCGTTATCTTGCTCGTCACATACCGCGACTAAAGTGGTCCAGTTCATGAAGAACACTTTCGTAGTGTACGTCTTTTCGGGTATCGATCTGTATCGTGTGCGTTTGGGTTCCGGCATGACTTTTAATTTCTGCTTGTACAACGCTGGCTAGCGATAAGTACAAGGAATTGGCAGCAATATTAATCACGATGCCAAATGTCTGCCATTTGAATTCGTCGATGAAGATGTTGTACGCACGTAGGTACACTACTGGAGAATTGACCGAGGTAGTGATCCATGTTGGGTATGTGACCTTATCGCGGATTTGCGGCAAATTTGCTGCGCTAAAAGTTAGCGTATTGCAGAATTGCAGATATAACTTGCAGACATAATAATTTTATAAAGAAATTGACTTTAAATGTTGATTTTAAAAATTTAATTTTTGTTTCTGTTTAGTAACGGTTAATTTCTTTAAAGTTTCAAATACACAGAAAACTGCTGGTTTGTTGCTTGAAATCCGGTCGGTTCCTTCGCGACTCGCGAGACACATTGTACGATGATAACAAAAACAAGAACTTGTTCTTCACCGCTTTTCTCGTTTGGTAATAGTTACTAGTTAGTAATAGTAACGGTTGTTGGTTACTTTTAATCAAAGCTGCATGTACCTATACCTAGTTATAAAGAGCAGATCCCATTCGGTAATTAGCGGCAACATTGATGCGACATCAGTTGCACAACCTAACAGGATTAAACAAATACAAGTTATATACTTCAAAGTTATTTTAGTTCGAAGCCGCTTAGCATATCGTTGCAAAAATGTACTAAGTTTTTCTCAGCAGCGCACACAATCATATTTAGCCGATATATGCTAATCAACCTGGCAAAATAAAAGCGGTAACATCCGGTACATATCGTCGTTTATCCAGTACATAGGAAGAAATAACATGGACATTTTCCGCTGCCCATTCTGGGCAGGCTTGACAACGATAATCATACAGTAATTTATGGGAAATGTTCAGGCAGGGATAGGAACGTTTGACTTCGTTCAGCGCGTACTGGAAGGCCGGTCCGGTGTACGGCCAGCCACCCAGTTGGGTGGTGTACATAATAGCCGTTGTGATAATTTCAATCTGCAATGGTGTCCGCACACAGCCAAACCTGACTCGTCTTGGCATCTCAATAAATAATCACCAATCACTCCAAAATTTACCGGTGAAATAACACGCAGTCGGTAGCTACAAAACTGGTAAATATTTAATACAATACAAGTACATAGTGCTGTATTAGGGTATGCGGTTCAACTCTGCATGCCGAAAATCATATACAACGGGATCGGGATGACATGATGAACTTGCCAAAACATGTTTAAGTTTTTTCTGTCTGTGAACCTCGCGACGGTAACACACTGCTAAGCCACGACTACAGAACAGGTAATGTACAACCAGTGCCCGAAAGTGATGGGATTATGTATTCTGGATCAAATGGCACGTTCTGATATGGCCTGTCACATAACCCCTTCCTAAAGGCCGTAAATGCTCGGAAAGCAAACAACACAACCGGAAACTTATGAGAGTTACTCTTCGCCGAATACGGTCGGATTTTCGGGATACGTTAAACTTGAAACTCATACAGCGTAATTCTACAATTACTGTGCTGCGTAACACAGCCTTTTTTTTCTTTTTCTTACTTTATTATTTTTTTCTTATTTTTATTAGTCGGGGGCTCATGATCAAATTTTCAATTCCCATAAACAAAAAATTATGAAGACGGTGTGTCGAGTAAACTGTATTTAATCACGATTATCATACAGGATTTCGCATCGATTTCTTCCGCCGGTGTGATTATCCCAGAAATGAGAGCTCGCCAAGTAACTAAAAATGTTACACAATACCATTGTACGAATGTAAAGGAAATCGTCAACCCGCACTACATAAAACAAAACAAAGCTAAACATTAGCAACAGCACACTTACACGCAAAAAAAACGGGCGATCCGACCAACGTAGAAAAAAAGACATTGGTTACAATTAACCACAAATGTTACTCGCCAAAAAAAACCACAAAGGCATGACGCACCTGAAAACTGGAATTGTAATGCAGCGATACTTGATAAAAAGCACGCATGTGACTGTCGTTAAGAAAATCCTTTAATGTGCACCCTCCGAGTGTTAAATACTCCACGATCGGCCTGTTCAACACTCCGGTGATCGTCAAAAATGGACACCAGTGTCTCGCGTTGTGGAGCGGTATTCTAGTGGGTGGCGGTGGAGCGGTTGGGCGCGGCCAGCTGGATGTGCATGTCGGGCATGGGCGTGGTGACGACGGTGACGTGGGCGGCGTACTTCTCCTCCCATGGGTCCAGACTGATGGAGTTGGTGGTCTTCTGGGCGTGCAGGGTGTCCAGGACGGCCAGCTCGTCCACCTGGGCCAGGGGCAGGCCGGATGATTTGTGGCGGTGGTGACGGTCGGGTGGGGTGTCCAGGTTGTACATGATGCGCGTTCGCACTGTTAAAAAACAACTTTTATTTATTGGCTTATAATTTTCATTCTAAATTCCAATTTTTTAATGGTATAATTATTTTTTCCAGCTGCTGCCCAATTTTTTACACTCAAGAACGAAAGCAGCGAGACAAAACTATTCGCACGACAATCTACGACAAAACAACAGACAGAAAAGTACCGAAAACCAGAAAAAGTTCATAAACGTTTCGCAGATTCGTGTACAAAATTAAGACAAAACTTTCGAAAATGTATGCTTGCCTGTTTATTTAATAATTCCGAGTGAAAATTCAGATTATACCGTAACAATATATCGAACAAACTCGGTGAGTGATAAGAATGGTTCGAAAGGTATATTTAGATTAAGAAAAACCAAATAATAGAAAAGATCAAGACCAAAAAAGAGAACGACATTTATCCAAAAATAAAAGGAAAAAATGTTCCTAAAGTGGAATAAATTTTTTTTCAAAATGCGTGTTTACGTACTAACAAAATTTGCTCTACATTCAAGAAAATTATTACAAAATACTAAATTAATTTACAATAAATTATCACCGTTTCATTTGAAATAATTCAGAATAGTGATATTGAAAAGTACTGTATTTCGTGAACACAAACAACAACATGCGGATCATCCCGGGCGACAATTACACCACATTTTATTACCTGGCGCAGCGTTCTCCGTTTCATAATCGCCGACCAAGACGGCGTCGGCCTGCGCGTCCTTGTCGTTGGCACTCTTTCCGTAGGGCGTCATAATCAGCGCCACCGATAAGACCAGAGCCTACAAACAACCGGGAGCCGTATTAACGAGCTATTTGCACAGACTCATCGGCCCACCGACAACACGATCACGCTGACATCAACAACCGGTCGTAAAATGCAAAGTTCATCGGCGTTGCTATTGTTCGCAACCGGCAGCCGCTGATTAGCGCTGATATCAGCATTATTACCCAAACGTTCTTGCTGAGCTGGCGCAATAATGAGCACATTATTTTTGCCAAGTTTTAGAACAATATTTGCAATGAGACGAACTTCGATACCACATTAAAGTACAGACTAAAAGAAAAAAATAAATACTTTACAAATCGTTTTTGCACAGAATAATTCCGAAATATTTAGGAAGGCACTTTTATTATCTACCGGAAGGTACAACACTACGATTTCATCCATGTTCACTATACGAAATTTCATAACTCAATTTCTTTTTGAATTTTGAAAGTTAACCCGAAATCCTGCGCAAACTATTACGTGTTCCTTTCGCGTATAAAACATCAAAACACTTCATACGGACTGGCCGGTTATATATTTCCGAAAACTCTTTAAACAAAACTAAAAAAAATAAATCTAAAATAATTTTATTCAGTTCCTTTTAAATTTAACCCAAGGTGTACCTAATAATCAATCGACACTTACTCACAGCTACAACAAATCTGTTAATACAAAAAGTAAGTAAAATGTATGGTTCTTACCATTAAGCACGTTCCCGTCGTTTTGGTATTGCGCGTGGTGCGTCCCAACAGGCTCTGTAGGGTTTTCAGCTGCGCCTGCAGCGAGACATTCTCCTTCTCCAGTTCCTTGACCCGCTTGGACAGCGTCTTATTCTGAGAGGCGATGTCCTTGATCTGATCCTCCAACTGATCAACGTACACCTTCTTCTTCCGCCGACTCTCTTGTGCCGATTTCTAAATTTAACCAGCACGGGCGTCAAAACAGCGGATAAATCGTCATGACATTTACATGTATCTATTGCACGTTACGGATCAGCGAAAATCAAATCAATTAAATAAACACACCTGGTTAAAATCAACATGCTGCGTACTGGTAAACTATACACCAGATATTATTTTTAATTTTATGGAAAAGCTGTACAAGCGCCAAGTCAGCCGAATGTCGCTGCTGTCAATAAACAAATTAAACTCTTACATCAATACGGGAAAAATATCTCTACAATATAAATCATAACGACAGCATCAGCAGCTATAAAACTAGGCAGTATGTTACATAAAAAATAAGAAAAAATTACAACAGAAAATCCACAATTTAACTTACTAAACCCACAGCATACACAAGAAACAGCATTTTATAAAACAACCGCAAACAACACTAACTTGTAAGTCTAAAACTGAATGCTATCCCTAGTTTTATTAATTTAATGATTTGAATTGACTTCATCCATTTAAAAATACTTATTAAATACATGATTATTCAAAAAAACATTATTATTTGTCATTTCAAATATATGTTACTATTAATTTTAGTATTTATACTCCTAAGATATTCATTAATATTTAAAAATATTGCCCATTTTTTCAGTGCCGGCCTGCCGGGTGTGTAGCCCACTGCAGCCGCCAAACCGCGCTTCAAAAAAGTAAGTATCTGTACATCTCAACAACAACGCCAGACACTTCAATCGAGGCATGAAGGCCGCATCGAAAACCGGTCTGCGTTTTTTTCTGCATCGGCCACCGGGTCTTCACTCACACAGCGCATGCCAATAAGTACCATTGCTGTATTCATCCCCGGTGTCAGTAGCCCAAACGCATGCCACGCAACACACATCGGCACTCGTCAATGAACTCGTCGCATCGCGCCGGAAACTTCGCCGAATAACATTATACCGCGTATACGTCAACAATACTGTTTAAGCACCGCTATTACCACCACTACCGACCCCGTACTGATTAAGCACGCTCTTTATCGACGGGCCGATCTCATCGCAACCTCCGTACGTGATTGTTCAGCAAAATAACTTGATGAACTTGATTAGCTCTTGCGCAAGCCGTCTCAAGCACATTCAATGCAAAACCGGCTCAATGAAAACCGGCAAAAGCGAGCACTGAACGAATTACAAGGTAACAAGAACAACAAAAAATTCAGTAAAAATTACCAGTTATTATGAAAAATTACCATATAAAAAATAGCATATAGCAAATTACCAACATAAAAAATTACCATATAGACTGTGCTTCCAGTAATAATTATGCTAAGAGGGCGTAAAATGAGCAACTGACCTTATTGCGTATTTTCCGGCGTATCTTTTTGAGAACGCGCTCATCCTGTTTGGATAAGGGCAGGAATTTGGGCAGTGTGAGACCTTCCTTATGCAGGAGCGTCAGTTCTTCTTTGGACAGTACCAACTCTTCTTTTTCCGCTCGCGACGACACAGACGATGAGTCTGAATGGACGGATTTGGGGGAGCCGTGCTGCATAAGACTGCCGCAGTCCGACGAGGAGCCGTCGTCGCTGCCGCTGCTGTTGGACGAGCAGACCATGTCGGCCTGGGGCACTTGCAGAAACTCAGTCAAGTCACAGTCCAACGAGGCCAAATCCACCTCCAACGACTCTGCCAAAATTCCAAATAATTAGGCCGTAAACGGATGCATTACAAAAAGGCTTTTAGTCGATTAACAGCTACTCATACAGTAAAAGAATGAAATACATACTTATTTATATTATTATTTAAATCCAGAACATATTTCGCAATCCAAACACCCTTTCATCGAATACAGTATTAACTTGTAAGTAGTGAACGAAAATTTTGGAAAGTTTTTCAACAACTGGAACAATTCTAACTATCAATCGTAGATAGCCTGTAAAAAGCAAAATATGCTGAAAAATAAATACTGTAAGGAATTAACTTTAATTTATAAACAAAAAATCTGTAAAGCAAAATAGCTTTTCCTCTTCGCCATTTTTTGCCATATTTGGTAATGTTTGTTTACCATAGTTTGGTAAATTTGGTTCGGAAATCATATAACATTGAAATATTCTAGAAAATTTCTTCGTCGTGCATTTTATTTATTGCTAAATCGTTATGAAATCACAGCAGGATAAAATAAAAAAATAATTCCCGGAAAGCAAAGCCCCTCCTAGAGAAACCGTAAAATTCGCTGCGACAAGCGCATTTACAATCCCTACGGCCCACAGCGCGGATACTCAATTTCGACACAAATGCCGGCTTGTGTAACAACACCAGCCACACCGCCTGCGTCACCGCAGCGGCATCCGCCCACTCACCTTCAGCGGTCCCCTGTGAGAAATCCCCATCGTGGCAGATCGCACCGGAAACAGCTGTACTGCTGCTCAGGAGGCTCTTGTTGAAATCCAGCAAACTGCTCGGATTATCGTTAAGCAATTGTAAGAAGTCCTCCGGCAATTCCTAATAGAATTAGACACAAATTATGCATGCGTCAGAATGAGGTCGGCGTGGTGGGGCCGATAAAACAGGGTCAAATCACAACAATTATGCAGCACTGAATACGCAAAAGTCACTTCAGAAATGCCAAATGATGCGAAAAATATTACCGGAAAAATTGGCACAAATGTGAAATGATAAATATCTAAATGATAAATATTTATATATTTATTGTTATAATTTAAGTATTGTATAAATTTATTTTATCCAAAAAAGTAACATTCTACACAAAACCTGTAAATTTCGCTCTAGTCTTTTAAACTTCCGGTGCACTTAAAGAATTATAAAATTCAAGATATTACAAATGTCAAAACCATTTGCAATCAAACAAAAGAGATCTGCAACTGTACCTCAACATGAAGCGCTTTAAAGTTTAAATATTTGTTTTTTACTTCATTAGTATTTAAGCTCAATAAAAATAAATTCATTAAAAATAAACGGAAATGCTTATGTATCACGGCATAACTGTTAAACATCAGAAAAATATCGAAGAAACTTTGAACGGCTTCGAAATATTTTGTACAAAACTCCAAAAAATAACTACAACAACTAAGAAACTTACTATAATTCCACTTACGTATTCAGATAAAATACGGTACTGTACGACCAGTGCAAATTACAAAGTAAAAACACAATCTAAAAACGAAAAAAAGTATTACTAATAAGTTAGTTTTCATCGCACTGAAAGATTAAATCATAACACGGTTCCAGTTTTTTTTATTTTCCAAGATTAAAAAATAAACAACCAAAATTTTGAAATGACTTACAAGTTACTGTGTGACAAGTTAAAACTAAAGTTTTTAAACTTTACAAAAATTTTAAAAAAGTTAAAAATCCGCACAAAATTGCTGTACGTTTCGCAGCTGCACCGTTTCGTCATGAGCAATTTTACACACCAAGGAAGCACTAAAAAACTAGGCCAATTTTCAGAATCTGGCCACCATCTGGAAGAAGCAGCACGTCACTGAACTCACCAGCTGGAAAGACTGATCATCAGATTCCATTTTCACGTTGACATCCGCACTGCCAGCACCCACATCACTGACACCAAACAGCAAGTCCCACAGGCCACGGCCTTGGTCCATGGTTGCACAATATATCAAACTTTATCGCAGCAACCAAATCATCAACTGAATTAATTGCCAAAAACACCGGTGTTTACCGAGTCTGCTACTATAATACACATAAAGTTATTTTTACAAATAGGAAATTTTCCAGGAAACCACGACGACGGCAAAAATCATTAAAGGAAATATAGGGAGGCGGTTGCAGCATGCAGCAGACAGCCAACGTGATGCAGCCACGCTGGCACATGCCGACCCCGCCCTCTCTGATTCATCGGCTAAACGGTGCAGTGGAGGGCATAGGCGCATACGAATGTGTGGCTGGTAAACGTGCTTTTGCTCCGTATTGATCGAACTGGGCGCGTATCCTGTGCGCTGAGATTTTAAATTCCAGTTCCGCTGAGCTGGCTTGTTGCGATTGGCAGATGTCTATCGAAGTACTTAAACAATAAATACCAACGATACGGCAAGCTTTTTTGTTTTTGTTTGATAAAACCGACAAAACACATCAGTTTTTAGTTTTGATTATAAATTTTTTAGATGTTTAGCGCCGCTCAGCACCACTGAGAGTGTGTGGTCTGACAACGAGATTAGAGGCTGCAAAACAAAACCAGTGTTGCAGAAATCTATCTATACTTCTATAGAATATTACTGTACGTAATTAATTATGTACCCGAAATTTGCGGGCGCAATGCACTTTCGATTACCCATCAAAATTATTATTAAAAATTTAAAACTGTCATTGCGAAAATTCACAATCGCCTTATCTTTACACATCCCATTACCAGTCCGACTTGTACAAGATAATCAGCCACCGACTACCTACTCGATGCGTTAATAGGAAGCGTATGCACTGTCCAGTGTTCAGTATGCGTTGAAGTACCAATACAAGCCATTACTTACAGGTTCATGTATTCTAATTACAATACTTACTCGTACTAAACAAATTAACGACTGATGGTGGTTCAACATGTTATAATTACCGGATATGTATTTTGCAGGTGGATTTATGGTGACCGCATTCGGCGTGGCCAGCGCCGAGACCACTGGCCCCGGCGCCAAGTGCGATTCGAACGAGAGCGTCCGCTTTACGTACTGTACTCGTATAACATGCGTTCAATTTATACGCGTATCGTATGTAATAAAATGGCATTATGAATGATGTTACAGTCATGTACAATACAGCTGGTGAAGGCTTCCCCCACGCCCAGGGACACAACAGCTGCCAACACTGAACCTTTTTAAGGACCCGGGCATGATAACTTGTACGTACACAGATTTGAACTAAAGTATATCAGCTACTCTACTCCGAGGGGAATGTGACAGTGACCATCTAGAATCCTCTTGACTTCCGCATCGACTCTGTCCTTGGCGTGAGCCCTGTCCTCGGGGTCGAGGATGCCCTAGCTTGACAGCTGCCTGGTACTTCTGGGCTAATTCGTGGACCATCTGCTTGGCAACTTTGTCGGCGCACAGCTTGGTGAAGGTCGGCACATTGGACTTGCCTTTACCTCCGCTGCTGCCGGGGCGACTTACGCCCTTGTTCCCTTTGTTGTCGGATCCGGAGCCCTTGGTTGCGCAGAAGCAAACCACTGCAAAGTCAAACGCGTACTGTAGGCACAATCGAGTACCGAATGATCATTACTTCTGCACTATCGGATATCACCGTCAACATCCACTATACTTCTAGTTTTCGAAGATACTGCAGTGCATTAGTTTCACCATTAAAAAAAATTTCTAACGCAATAGGCCTTAATTGATAGGTTTTTTGCGATGGTAAAGAGACCATAATGTTTCACGTTTGACTGCGGAATTAATTTGCTATACTGTAGATCTAGACTTGTGTAGAGTACCTCATAATTCACGATCAATAAAATCATGTACAAAGTATTTACTTGCTGTGCAGATCGAGATGACCATCGTGTTCTGGTCACAAGTGTGCTTCAGTTTTATTTTCTCTGATATACAGAGTCACTTGGTTTCCAGTAAAGTGAGTAAACGGAACCGAATGGGGTCTTGATTCTGGAAACCGCACTCACACTGGTGACCTTATAATTATATGCGTTTTCGTTTTATACGGTTTACTCTTTCGAAGTAAGTGTTGGTAACTGAGTATTATAATAATTATAAATAAACCAACTGTACTCGTACTCGACAAGTCGACATGTCCCTGTCAGCTTCGTTGTGATCTGTATTTCTGTATGTACTACATGCTGCACTTAATAATTGTTTGTACAGTTGTACTAAGCCATCTGTTAGGGACATGTAATTCCGGACCTTCGGTTCACCATCCATGGGAAAACATAATTACTGCGCATATTTTATTCGAAACCTGACGATGTGGACTGCAGTAAACATGCATGATTTATAACATCATCTGAAGTTTTTGTACGCTTCCTTGTCAACAAGTTTGTCAGCCGGATAATAATTTATGCAGTGCTCTGTGAATCCCGGGTACTCTTCCCCGCCGACCGCCTTTAAACCAGCTTGCGAGGCCAAGTTAAACTTCATACATTCTGTCCAGACATGAATCTCTCCAATGTCCCGCAGTTTCTTCAGCAGCGCTCGGAGTACCACACGAAATAACCCCCGCTTCCGATAGTCCGGGTGGACGAAGGCGCCTCCCAAAACTCCTTCAGTCTTGTAAATGAGGTAGGCGATGGGTGTGTTGGAGGCGTCGGGAAAGAGCGCGACGCTGGGAAAGTCGTTCTCGATCATGTAGCGGAAGTAAGCGGTTGTATTGGCCAAGTGACCGTAGTTGCGCTCGCGACCCACTTGATCGACGTGCTCCGGCTGCAGAGTTCCTAGACGAAAGCCGTCCGGTACCTTAAATCTGCAACAACACACTCATCAGTATTTGGCGAACTAGATTACAAAATACAGGGGTGCCGCGCCAAGTTCGGACAGTTGCGCAAATTAAATTTAAAAACATTTCTGTACTAGTTTTTAGTTTTTATTTTTAGTTTTTAGTTTTTTGCACTTTTCTAGTGTAACGTTTTATTGCGGATCTGAATATGCTACAATTTGAAATGCTAGGTGGTGTAGTAAATAGCCAACCGGTTAAAACAGGGATGGGGTAGTGGTCATTTCCAGAGGGCTTATAACTGACCTTCTAGAAACTACCCCAAGTGACATTTTTTCATGGACATTTTTATAAACTGTTAAGTGGCCTTAAAGGTATGTGGCATGGGTCAGCAAAAGCTTTCTCGTGATTGGTGCTCGCGGTGACCCAGAAAGAAGGTGCACCTCCCATAGGCTTGTATGTTAAACAGTGCGTCCGGAAGAATGTGGTTGCCAAGCGCGCAGAGATATGAAACTTCGAGATGATGTTTTCGAAGAATGATACATGCATTAAAGTAAAGGATTTTTGCATTCTATCTGTTATCTACCGAACATACGATAAGATAGAGCTGGCAGAAAGATCTAAGAAAAAACCAACAAAGCAGTGGCCAAACAAATTTCGCGCTGGTGCGAAAATGCGTTGCCCCGGGATGTCGCGGGCCTTTTGGGCAAACACAAGAGCTTAAAATGTTGCTCGATGCTTAGCCAACAAGGTTTTTTTACATGCTAGACACATCCATCTTCCGTGACTCTTGTGCGAGCACTCAAAGGGCACCGTCCACCCTTCTGACGGTGCCTCCAGAAATACTGCAAAGGTCATGTCGCCATCATTGAAATAGAATGGAGTCTGGCGAATTTAGCAAGGGCTTTGAATGGCAAACCGCCCAGAATTAAATTTTTTTGACTGTAGCATCAGTGGAATTTCATAACAAATTTTAAATGGGAGTTTGACTAGGATGGTCCTTGGGTCGAACCGCATTTTTATTCAGGTCTGCTTTAATTTAAACCTCGCTGTATTGCAAGCCACGCCCTCAGGCTGGCGACCCATAGTGAAAAAGATGCCTAACACATACGCTAATAATAAAAAAATTGAGTAAGCAGTAATTTGTTGGTGTGTGACCTAGAATGATTTTTAAGAGAAACTGTCCGAACTTGGCGCGGCACCCCTGTAAGTTTCTAATGTGGCGTAGCAAACGATTACTAACTCTAAATCTAGATTCGGCAAATCGAAGTGGTAGCAGTACTCCCCAGGCAGGAAGCCCTCCATCGTGACCAGATGGTCGAAACTGCCGCCGCGAAATCCTTGACCATCCTCCAAAAGTACCAAGTGTTCCGGCTCAGTTATATCTGCAGTCAAAGCAAGTTGTTCAACTCACCGTCACAAACACCTCCTCAAAAAGATCAGTTTTGTACCGGCAAACATAATAATCTGTGTCCAGTCGAGAGTGTCCGGTTCTTCGAACAACATTTTCCGAAAGACATTGGCATCTTTGGAGTAGACGAATACTTGATAGCCATTCGTTAAGGGAACGAAGGATTTGTCGTCTTTTCTGGGTCGTACGATGCACACAGACGGATTGGGGAAGTCGTCAACGGCGAACTCAATACCGGGCCAGGCGAAACGCTGGCGGATGACATTTCGCATTACATGGTAAACCTAGAAGTATACCAAAAGCAAAAGCTGTCAGATTACGGTAGTTGCAAGCAATAACGGTGCATATACCAGGAGACCTCTAGGGAAATCTTCCTCTAGTTCCGGCAGGAACTGTATAAGCTGATCTTGAGTCAGTACTTTCATTTTGTCCCTGTGGATGCACTCCAGCTTACGCTGCTAGCGCATAAAGTGTAACAAAACTGACATTTAACGACCACTACAAATAGGCTTTACGTTTTTGAAAAAAGCTGGCAGCGTGAAACATTCATTGCAGGTGTTATCGGTAAACTGCCGACAAGGGTTCTGCTGTTATTGATACTTGATATCATCACTATTCGCTTCACAGTACCGTAGTGAAAAGATATAATTATATACATTACCAACGGTCCCATCTGGTGGATAACCTTTGTTCCATTTCATATTATCACGCGCCATTGTCTATCGGTTGTAAAAATCTTTGAACAACGTGATAGCTAGGTAAATCGTATGCACCGCTTGCGTATTTTAAACTACATATACAGTACCTATACAATTACATATATCTGTAGTCTGTACATATACAATTAAAGGACATTCCAAAAGTAAGTTTCCATGTTTTGTATCTCCCGCTTTAACGCTCTCAGCTAAAGTTGCTCATACTTACGTCCTTAATTAAAGGAAGAACCAAACGAAATGATAATTTAGAACAACTACTAACAAACTGAGAAGAAACGCCGAAAAGATCATTGACGATTTCTGGGGCGGAAGAGAAGAAAAAAAGAATGACGTTAAAAAAGGACCGTGAAAGCTGTGCAGAAGTTGCACAAGCCATTCGGTTTTTAGTTTATTCTCTTCCTCATCGATACTTTCATTCTTCTTTTCCTAGAACACAATGGCCAATCCACTAAAAATACTTCGCTTGTGTGTTGCTTCAAATGGCCGGGAGGTCAAACAGGGAAACTTACTTTTGGAATGTCCTTTGTAGTATTGTATTCCTCTGTATACAAAGCATTGTGGTCGATCTCTGTTAGTGCCAACCTATTAAGGACAACAAAAATCAGTAAAAGGTGACCTTGAAGACCGATTGGTTTCTCCCACGCAAGTGAATAAAAGACCGAAAACAAAGGTTTGTAGGTTATTAAATATGCACATAGTCTACACATTCAGATTTGTACGTACAGATCTGTATGTATTTATATCTACTATATATATATATATATACTATATACATAATACATGTAACCTTAACCAGATGTCATGGCCAGCAGCTAGGTTCCCAGATTTATGGCAGTAAAGAGCCAGAAATGTGACTCCTCAAAAACATGGGTTACAAATGGATATTTGAAACCCATTATTTTATTTGAGAGTAAATCGAACAATAGCATAGCGTGACACCGTGTTGAGTTTCGACCATCTGCAGGAAACTCGTGTGCAAAATATCAAATAACGATGATCACATACTCCATTCCTTTTAACAACACCTCGGTGCTCAATGTAAATATAAAATATTATCAATGAATTACGGTACTATACGTAAGACATAAAATATTGTTACCACAGTAAGGCCTTGTCCCGAATTCGAAGCGAATCTCGCTATGGTACGGTTGCTCAACCGCACGAGGTAGCTGTATGCAGTGGCCACGCCTACAGATATGGTACGCGAAGCCACCTCGCGAGGTGGAGTTGTTGTATCGCAACGAGATTCGCTTCGAATTCGGGACAAGGCCTAAGTTTTGAAAACAAGTAGTTCACGCTTCACAGTATAGTATGATGCATATCTACAGTATAATTTATAGATATTCCATTAAAACTGGAGCGCACACGGCAAATTACAATGCATATGTGAAGCTCGAATCATGATCAGTCACCTTAGAAATATGGAAACTATTTACTACAAACCTACGCAAATCATCATATAACCATTAATTAGCCATTAGCAGTTTGTAATAAATAATCATGCATCAGTTGTTGTTTTGTTCGTTAAACATTGGTATTGTATCACAAGGTACAATACAATTACTACACTGCAGTACCCGTACAGTAACTGACTAACTTGACTCGAGGAATACCTCGAGTCATAAAAATGTGACAAATTAGGAAAATGCATAATTGGTGCACAGAGAAGAGAGAAGCCATAGAAAAAGCATTAAACATTATTACGTACGAAAGATTATACACATTTTGATGTCATTATTTTTGGATGACACCATAGCGAATGTTTCAGTGAGAAAAAGCATTAAACATTATTACGTACAAAAGATTATACACATTTTGATGTCATTATTTTTGGATGACACCATAGCGAATGTTTCAGTGAAGGGGTTTAAAAAGGGCCCCATGTGGCTCCATTCTGCAACTTCTTAATTAGTTGGGGCTTTTTTTAACGAAGATATTCTTAATGGCTCTTTGAATTCCCGGTAAGCTGGAATGATAGATTAGCGGATTAAGGGCACAACTCCCGTACTGAAGGCAGGTGACGACAGCGAACAGGGTATCGTTCCAGTAATCATTAAAATCTACCGCTAGATAGTAGATCATTGCCGGGATAAAGCAAATCAGAACGCAGAGCGCCAGTAGGGCAAAAAGTTTGTACATTTTGCTTTCGGTAGTCTGTGTAGAGGATGTGTTGACAGGGAGTGCCGGCTTCTTGAGGCTATTCGCATTCACAGGAAGCGGCACGATGTCATTACTTCCGGCCGTTGATGAATTATGTTGCGTTGCAAGAGCTGAAAATATCAGGAAATGCACGATATTACAAATCACTAATGCGTATGATCAGCGCGGAATTTCATAACAAAAGCTCAGATTTTCAAAACATTTTCCTAAAACCTGCACAGAAAACCATCACGTGCACACAAACTAACGAAACCACAGTAGTCTTCGACGGCATTTTTTAACTGAGCAAACAGCAAAAATTTAACTGATTCCGATTGATCGAACGGTTTCACAGAATGCTTATCAAAAAAGATGTTGCTAAAGATGTTGCTAAAGAAGTCTCATTAAACAAAGCTGAAATAATATTGTAATAAAACAATTTTTGCATAGAACTTACTGAAGGTGATTGTCATTCCTCCAACAGGTAAAACTCGCTTCCTCAGGGAACGAAGTGAACGCTGGAAAATCTTAGCGAATATCACTATATAGCTAAGTAAAACAAAAATTGGCGGAAAATCATAGGCCAAAAACTCCAGCGTCAGTGAGTAGGTGTGCTGTGCATAATAATTGATGGAGCATGGTAACTTCATCTCGTTGTACCAGAGGGAATCCATGACAATGTACGGTGTGACCAGGAGTAAAATGAACAGCCACATTCCAGCACACGTTAGGCAAGTGGTTTTAACTGAGCGAATATTCCGATAAAAAACTGGTGCAAAAAGTGACAGCAGCCTGTCAATACTAACCAACATTACCGAATAGCCCGTGCCAATTAAAAGGTGCTTGTCTAGAAAGTTGTAGTATGGACAATACGCCGCACTGGCTTTCGGAGACAGCGTAAACCACACAAATCCGGTCATGCTGAAGATGGCTAAGCCACAATCGCAAATGGAGACGTTCAGTAAGTAAAACGTAAACGGATTCCGCACTGTGGCGTCTTTCACAAATGCAGCGATGAAAAGAAAGTTGTATCCAATGGTGCTGATGCAGATAATCAGTACGACGGTGACAAATGCGTATGGCGTGGAGCTGTCTGTAGATTTTGCGAAGTTTTGAAAGGTCACTGTCGATTGGTTCACATTCAATGAACCGTTCATGGTTGAATTTTATTACGTAGTTTCAAATTGCAGTGTCATTAAAAACAATTATCTGCAGGTGTACATTAGAGCAGTAACAACTTTCTAAACTCCGCGCTCTTGATTACGGAACTGCATCGACATTTAGGCAATTAGCATTGGCTTTTAAGGGATAATCAGCTTATATGCGTAGCTTTTTCTCCTGTACCACAGGAAATTGTGAGCAACAAGTCCAATGCAACGTCGCGAAAAGTCGTACAGAATGTCGCAATCGATAAGCCTCTACGTTGGTCGGTGCTTTTAATGGAACACGTTTCCTGCAGAAACCCGTCGCTATGGGAAGCCAGAACTAACTAGCGCATATAAGTGGTTGCATCGGCCTCCTCCCGTGCGCATTGGTCATGCACAAACAGATACCTCCAGATTGCTGCTGCTCTGGTGTGCGCTCACGTGAACATCACGGAGCCTGGTGAAATTATCCATATGTCCCTGCATAGGTGGAGTTAGGCATAATTCATATACATGTAAAGATCGAAGATCGTTGAAGCATTGCCGCTCTACAACAGAGCGGAAATTGTTGAAGCGTAGAACGATAGGTTTTCAACCTTTCTTTGTACCCGGCATGTGTGGTCTTTTAAACGCATTCACATACAGATCAACTCATAGAAGGATTGTGTACAGACAGTACAGTAGTATCTATTTACAGATACGTTGCATTGTACTGAAAACACTAAAGTGACATTTCCTACGGAAATAGCTCCGTCAGGCCTGGATGGGAAAGGGAAATAATCGGGATAAACGGGAACTGGATACAAACCATATGGAATACTTCTATAATTATTAGGCTATTAGCCCAACCACATTCTAGCGACAGCTATGCTGACTATGCAGTATGCCCGTATTAACTGGCATACCGTAAACCACACCCCTAACTTGTGCCAATCACAGGGGTGTAACATTTTGGTTACAGATTTCCCCATAGACCGTGCAAGAAACAAGCCGTATACACTCTTATACAGAAAGTCTCACTTTCTGTTTTTATTATAGTGTATAGGTCCTGCAACAGTGTGCAGGCCTGACGGAAAATTGAACCGTAGACTAGAGCACCTTGTCTGAATTTAGCTGTAACTATTTCCGATTTATGCTGACGACTTTGTTTTGAAGGAGAATATCGAGCAAATATCTGTGAACGGCATTGTAGCACAGAAGTCATTGTAACAGGCAAAGCAAATTTTATCTATGACGGCACTGTAGTACGATACACGGTACATACAGGTATAATATGGGTGGTCAAAATCTTCTGTGTAATCGATGCGTGTCGGGTAAAGGCCAGAACAAGTAAAACCAACCCGATGAATCAGCCAAAAAACTGTCAACAAATGATAAGACGAGTATGTTTGCGTGCCAGGAAGGAAACTGACCACCGAAGTGGAAACAACACAGTTACGTTTAATTCCAAATGCGGCGCCACACGAGCTAGCCTGCATCATGCGACGGCATAAGCAAGACATCGCTGCGCCAGCCATAATGCAGGTGTTCTTTATCTGCGAGGAGTTCAAAAATTAATTACACGTGTATAAACTTGTAACTGTTGTGATTTCTGCAATGGCCCCACCATCTAAACGGCAAAAATTTCTTAATTTATGCGACAAAGGATTATCAGTTTAAAGATCGAAGAGTTAATCAGTGATGAATCGGAGTAAGCCTTATTAGAAAGCGATTCCTACAGCATCAGCGATAGTGATTCTGATATTCCGCTTGAATCAGAAGACGGGGATGTTGAGCTCATGTTGAAATTTAAAGTGTGTCTTCAAAGCCGTCGGTATTTAAGCCGGCAAAAAATTCCTAAAAGCAGGTTTTTTTGGAACATGTTTTACCGGCTTTAGACGATGACAGTTTGCGCCAGGAACTGCGAATGTCCAGAGGTTCTTTTTTTAAAATTGCATCTTTAATCGAAAATCACTCCATATTTAATACCGTATCTGACAATCCACAAGCAAGAGCAGCTCGTTGTCGCTTTGCACCGTTTCAGCACTAATGCTGCCTCCAAAGGTATGGCACGGTGTGGGTATGGTGTCAAGGAAATTTGGAATTAGCGCCGGGACAGCTTTACGGTACACCCGACGTGTTATATGTGCTCTATTATAATATACTGGTAATTCCGTAATTAATTAAACAAGCGACATATCAGTCCATAATATATAATATTATACAAATCTGGTGTACACAGTTGTTGGCAAGACGTTTAAAGCAAAGAGTTCTGCTGGCTGACATATGTGTGTAAGTCTGGGTAAGTAATGGTTGCGCTTCGATATCGAAGCGCAACGCTTATGGAAGAGTAAGCTGATAACCCATCCCAAAATTCTTGTTTACGAATGAGCACGTTTGCTTGTTTACGCGCCGTTGACTCACGCTTTTTACCCAACTGCCGCGCAAACTGCCGCGTAAAGAATACACAGAGATTTTGACCACCCATAATATTATGTCGACTGTCGTTGCTACTTCGATAAGTTTCGACCAATATTACGTACCGATACTAAGTTACTATTTCTTATTTTTATATACGATTTTGTCAAACACCAAGAAGAAATTAAAACGTAAACTTTTGAAACTTTATTTATAAGAATAACGGTAAAAGTTTTACGTAGGATTTCGGGGCAAAAATTTGATGGGATTCGGTACTGGTAGGGGATTTTGTAAGAAAACGGGAGTGTTGACGCAACAAGACATCCCTACATTAATATTGCTACTTTAAAATTAATATTTCCTGCGTCGATACCATCCATCAAAATAAAATAATCATTCCCTAAAGAGACAATTAATGCATGTTTTCTTCTGCTAATCAATCGATTCCGGACGGCTGCATGAATCTGGCACCCACGTTTCCCTGCGTGCTTCTGTGTGATACTGACTGCCCAGAGGCCTGTGTTGTACTGCGTTCCATTTTTTACAATATATAAACCGATTATGAATTTATAACTTTGTTACCGTTTATGCGAAACTCGTCTTTCGGTCGCATGTGATCTGAAGACACATATATCAGTTTGCTTTTAAATTTTGTGTTCTTCCGGAGTGCAGCCAAATCCGCTAAGGGTAGTGTATGGACTGTAGTTTATCTGTATTTATTAATATTATGACAGAAAATGGCCCAATCAAGCAAGCATATCTTTACATTCGTAATTAAATACACTGGTTGGAGTAAATTGTACTAAAGTACATCCCGCTCTATCAGCAATCGACGCCCAGGTCTACAGTACATGTCAAAGAACAAACAGTCGGTGCACTTTCTGGGGGAAACTGAAAGTTAAAGTGCGAACTGTGAACCGAAAGCAACAAGCCGGTAATGGTGCGATTTTCCGTGTCGGGAAAGCGTAAGCTGGGTATGCCAGGCTGCAAGCATAGTCCGCGCTACTGCAAAATTATCTTATTTTTTATTATTAGGAAGGTTCGCCCAACTAGAAAGCAAACAAGCAGTTTATATCGGTAATCATCGGAAAGGCAAAATCTGGAAAACACCTGCAGATCAGATTGTACACTGCAAAATGAGACAAACATTCACGGGATCGCATTATCCGGTGTCTGCGGTATGTTCTTTATCTAAGCGCTCTTTGTACCATACATGTTCGGCACTGCCGTGCTCCTCGACTAGTAACACAATTTTCCTTCCGGCCCGAAGACAGTTGTATGAATGGTTTTATAATTATTCGGTCTTGGTTGCTGAACATGACCGCTAAAACGACCAGGAGCTGCCAATTATCTGAGATCAACCGCGAAAAGAACACCGTAAGGCTGCTGTGCAGATAGGTCTTATTACAGACGTACAGTAGTACGTAATAGCGCCGATCGGTATAAGGTCACACCCATGCAGGCGCAGGTTTTTTCGGTGCATTTTGTGCAGCACAAAACAAAGGCTCGTCATTTGTGCGGTGATTTACTGTGAAAAGTTCTCGTCGCAAAAAATTTTGCCAGGATAACGCTTGTGGAACCAGCGTAGTTCTCAGCGCAGCTCTACACGGGTTATAGAACTGGTCGGGTTTTGCCAATGACAACGTCAGGTACAGAGGATTCGTGGCTTTCCGCCTCCAGTTCAAATGCGAGATAGTCTAATTCACGGACCACAGTTAACAACAACCGTTAACAACCAATTAACGATTGACTGACGGAAACCGACAGGCGCGTATGTACCACATCCAAAGCAATCACATCATACATAAGCAGTGAAATTTCTGGGTAGTTCGTGATATCTTGGTTTTCCATACATCTGATACATTTTGAATACATTTGATGGATACAACTGGCGACATACTATTTTTATAGCGCATATTCATATCCGTTAACTGGACGAGTTTCGTGAGGAACTCTACGCTACGGGTCGAAAGTTGTCTATGGTTGTTGAATCGGTCAATTTCGTCTCGATAGTGCAAAAACTCTTGTTTTGCTACTCTAACCGGACAATAATAATTAGCGCATTAAATCCATGCGCCTTATTCCAAGCGTACGATGTGATTTCTTAGATCAAGGCT